ATGTTAAGCTTGCGAATACCTAGGAATTATCATCATAATTGCAAGTTCTGAAAACGCGAAGTTGACCAATCGATTTATGTAATGAGATGTATGGTTTTGTTTTGTGCTCTTAATTTGATTTTACTTGAGGACAAGCAAAAGTTCAAGTTTGGGGGTGTGTTAAGTGTATATTTATACACTTAATTGTACCTTTTAATTGGAGCTTTTGATGTGTTTTTACGATAATTGGTGCTTAATAGGGTTATTATTTGTATTTTAGGTGCAAATTGAAGAATTGGCAACTTTTGGGGTGAAAACTGCAAATTCGGAGAAAAAATGGGCCAAAAGTGAAATAATCAGAATTCAGAAGATTTGAAGACCGCGCGGCCGTGCTCATTTTAAGCTTATATTTCACACGGCCGTCCGGATTGACGTAGGGGCGCAGTGAAGGAAGTTTAATTTCACAAGGAAACCCGCCCTATTATATTTTTGCACCCTATTTAAAGGCCACAAGCACACAATTAGGATTATCTTTTACCTTTTTATCGTTTATCTTAGTTTTTATTCTTCATCTTTCTACACGCAATCAAGGAGCACAAGAACGAAGACGAAGACCTGACGAATCTTCATCCTAGTTTTCCTTTTATTTTTATTTCTCGACTTTTATGAATTTTCATATTTTTATTATGCTTTTCGTTACGAACATGAGTAGCTAAGTTTTTATTCTAGGATTTTATTGGAACCCTATGTGGTAATTCGAACCTCTTTTTCGACTTTTATGCAAGTTTAATTCTTCGATTATTTCTTCTATCTTGATCTTATTTAGCGCATGAACGTAGCTAATTTATGTTGCTATGTGTTATTTTTAGAATTGATTGACAGATCGTTTTAATAATTAGAACAGGGATAGAAGAGCCTTCGAGTAGTTTTTCACCGAATGCGTGTGTTGATTGCATGTATTATCGTAGACATACAGATAATACCTTAGGTAGCCGTTTACGAGACTTGTTATTTAATGCTTTATTTGTACTAGGTTTGCATAGACATATAGTGAATCTTTTATGAATAATAGGCTTATAACGCAGCGACAGCTGGTTATGAGTAATTTCGTGTCTTGGGTTAATAATCGGGAATCGTAACTTGCATGATAGGAGATTAATTGGGTGAAGAATTATCGCATAGGGGGAAGATAAAATCCTAGATCCATTTTATATTGATATTTTCTCGTGAATTATTGCTTTCTTAATTAGTTTAATTTATTTAGTTAATTAATTTGACAACCCTGCGTAGGCTGAATAAAAATCATAATTGTTAGGATTTGGTACTTAGGATTAAATAATTTGCGTATTCCCTGTGGGATCGACATCCGACTCTCACGAGTCTACTTTACTACTTGTTTGCGATACGTACACTTGCGTGTTGGTATTTAGCACCCAACAGTTATTGTTAGAATTTATTGACAGATCGTTTTAATAATTAGAACTGGGATAGAAGAGCCTTCGAGTAGTTTTCACTGGATGAGTGTGTTAATTGCATGTATTATCGTAGACATATAGATAATACCGTAGGTAGCCGTTTGCGAGACTTTTTATTTAATGCTTTATTCATACTAGGTTTGCATAGACATATAGTAAATCGTTTATGAATGAATATTAGACTTGTAATACACGCGACAGTTCGTTATGAGTAATTTCGTGTCTTGGGTTAATAATCGGGAATCGTAACTTGCATGATAGAAGATTAACTGGGTGAAGAATTATCGCTGATGTGTATAATTGGATCTTAAACCCAATTGGTCCATTAAAGGCCCAATTAAGGGAAAAGTCCAATTAGAGCTCCACTTCTATAATTTTCTCCCACATTGAATCTCTACAAGAAGTTTAACACTTCTACACTTGTCCCACATTGAAAGTTTACAAGAAACTAATAGTCAAGTCCTACTATAAAGACAAGGTATGATTCATTTGTTGAAGGATCTCTAATTTGGGTGATATTTTAGCCTTTGCAAAGTATCACTTCCAATACCTGACTTGAGCGTCGGAGTGTAATCGCCGGGGCCACCCCGGCGAGTCACTTAGTGTCTTGATTCGTTTTGTAGGTTATTCGGCAGACCCACACCTTTGATCCCTTTGAACACGTGGCAAGGACCCCCGGCATTCCCGATATTGGGCTTGAAGATTCCCGGACTTAGGAGACCAGTGGGCTTCAAGACCATTGGGCTGACCCACCATTTTGGAGCAGCATCATTTTGGCGCCGTCTGTGGGAAATGCGTACCAGAGCACGTGGCATGGAAGAAGGCGATCGAAGGACGGATGGACTCCCTCCCCAAGAAGGGCCCGAGATCCCGGATCCCCCCCGAAGGGCACGGACGACGGGAACTACAAACCGACCAGGAGGGGCCCCGCCAGTCTTACAGATGAGGACAGAAGAATTGGAAGCCTTGATGGACCAAGTGGCAACGAAGGCAGCGGCGGCGGCAGTGGCGCATTACCTCGTCACCCAAGGTGTAGCCCCAGAAGAAGACCCGAACCCGGTAACCAATGACCTGTTGGAGCCTCACCCAAACCACCCCGCCTCACCTGTCGTGGAGCCCTACCATTCGGAGGAAAGAGTGTCAATGGGAGACCGAAACTTTCCCTCAACATCCGCTAGGAATGTCCAACGGCGGGCGCCTCACCTTAGCCTTTTGCCGGAGCAAGTGCCTCGAAGGAACAATCGCCGTTGGTCGCCACCATTTAATGTCACCGTAGATTACTCTCTTCAAAGGGGCGACCATCAACGTAGAGCACGCTCAAGGGGACAAAAGGAGCGTATGCGTCGAGAGGAGAAATGCGAAAAGAGACGCCACCATCCCAACCACCGTGGAGGCCCTGATCAGGGCGAAGACAGTAGCAGAATGTCCCAGCGCAAGGAGAGAAGTCGATGTCGCACAAGGGTTGACGACGACGATGCAAGAAGCCGGCAGACGAAGGCAAAAGAGTCGGCGTCCCTTGCCCTGGTGAAAGCACTTCCGACAAGAGCAAGCCCATTTACCCCGGCCATTCTAAAAGAAGCCCTGCCCTTCGGGTTTCGGATCCCCGATCTTCCACAGTTCGACGGAACCGCACATCCCCAAGACCATATAAATAACTTTTATGCCAAGGTCGATCTTTACGGTCTCACGGATGCGGCATACTGCAAGATCTTTCAAACTACCATGAGTGGCCAAGCGCTAAATTGGTTCAACAAATTGCCAGGTGGGACTATCGACGGATGGTCGCAGTTAGTGGAACAATTCCTTAGCCAATATTCCATCAACAAGAAGTACGCCAAGACTGGAACCTACCTTTTCAAGGTCGTCCTGCAAGAAAACGAGGCGCTCAGAGATTATATGCAACAGTTCTTTAGCGCGGTGCATGAAGTATGCAACGTAAACCACGAGTTCTTGGCGGGGATCTTGATGAGCAACTTGAGGCATGAACGGTTTCGAGAGTCCCTTGCGGGCCGACCCCCCTCGACATTGGATGAGC